GTACTTAGGTGTTAAGGATGGTGTATTTCTGAGGGGTGGGAATGTGTATTAGTTTCCTATTGCTGCTGTAACAAATTACCACAGAGATAGTGGCATAAAACAACATAAATTTATTTTCTCACAATTCTGGAGGTCAAAAGACTGAAATGAGTCATATGGGACCAGAATCAGGTGCAGCAGGACTAGTTTTTTTCTGGAGGCTCCAGGGAAGAATCTATTCCTTGCCTCTCCAGCCTCTAGGCTGTTGGTGTTCCTGGGCTCATGGCTGCATCTCTCCAGTCTCTGCTTTTATCATTATATCAGCTTCTCTGCCTTCTGGCCCTCCTGCTTCCCTTTTATAAGGATCTACCCAGATCATCCAGGATAATCTCACCATCTCAAGAGCCTTAATTTAGTCATTTCTACAGAGTCCCTTTTGTCATGTAAGAAGTTCCAGGGATTAAATTGTGAACACCTTTAGAGGGCCATTATTCTGTCTACCACAGAGTGTGTTTTTCTTTTTTTAATTTAATTTAATTTGAGTCAGAGTCTCACTCTGTCACCCAGGTTAGAATGCAGTGGCATGATTACGGCTGAATCTCTTGGGCTCAGGAGATCCTCCTGCCTCAGTATCCCAAGTAGTTGGGCCTACAGATGCACGCCACCACACCTGGCTAATTTTAAAAGATTATTGTAGAGGTGACATCTCACCATGTTGTCCAGGCTAGTCTTGAACTCCTGGGCTCAGGCAATCCTCTCACCTCGGCTTCCCAAAGTGCTGTCTTTTTTATGTTTGTGTCTGCATTTCCTAATTTTATGTAATGTGCATGAATTACTTAAAATGCATAAGTTAAAAATAGAAAAATGCTATGTTTAATTTAAAGTGCCATGAAATGTAGCTAATTGTTTTCTTACTTTTTCTTTCTTTCTTTTCTTTTTTTTTTTTTTTGAGTTGGAGTCTCACTCTGTTGTCCAGGCTACAGGGCTGTGGCACGTTCATGGCCAGTGCAGCCCCGTCCTGCTGGACTCAGGGAATCCTTCCGCCTCAGCCTTCCAAGTAGCTGGAACTACAGGCGAGTGCCACCACACCCAGCTACTTTTTTGATTTATTGTAGAGATGAGGTCTCGCTAAATTGCCTAGGTTGGTCTCGAACCTGTGGGCTCAGGCAATCTTCTCACCTCGGCCTCCCAAAGTGCTGGGATTATAGGCATGAGCCACCGCTCTTGGCCTTATTTTCTTACTTTTTTATTATGCTAAATCAGAAAGTCCAATTCACAATTACATGTTACCAGAGATGGCAGCAAGTTTTTGGTAGCTGGGTGAGAAACTTCTGTATATTGGATTGAACAGGGATGCATAAACTAAGAAGTCATCACTTCCCTTCAGTGTTGTCCCAGACACTAAGTAGATGAAGTACTACTCTCAAATTTGGCAAAGTTGAATGTTTCCCCTTGGGCAGATGAGTGTCACTGGGGCAGTACTACCCAAGCGCTTTGAAAACATGTGGGAGACCAGGCGCGGGGTGGCTCACACCTGTAATCCCAGCACTTTGGGAGGCTGAGGCGGAACAATTGCTTGAAGCTAAGAGTTCGAGATCAGTCAAGGCAATATAGCGAGACCTTGTCTCTACAAAAAAATACAAATATATATACTAACCAAGCGTGGTGGCATGTGCCTGCAGTCTCAGTTTCTAGGGAGTCTGGGTCAGAAGGATCGCCTGAGCTCAGGAGGTTGAAGCTGTGTGAGCAGTGATTGTGCCACTGCACTCCAGCCTGGGTGACAGAGTGAGACCCTATTTAAAAAAAAAAAAGACATAAAGAAAACATGTGGGGCTATTTTGGTTGTTACAGTGATTGACAGGAATCTCCTGGCAGGGATCTCCTGGCATTCAGTGGGCAGGAGTCAAGAATGTCATATGTCCTTCAATGCATGTGACATTCCCACAAGGAAGAATTTTCCTACAACTTATATAACTTTTAAATGTCTCCCTAGACATTCATGTATATGAAAACCTATTTGTAATTATCTGAGTCTAAGCCTAACTTCGTTTTACATGTAAACTCAAAGTACTCTTTTCTTTTTATAAAACTTATTTTTTAAAATATGGAGTGCTTTCACAAATTTGCATGCCATTTAGCACGGGGCCATGCTTATCTTCTTTGTATAATTCCAATTTTAGTATATTGCTGTGGAAGCAAGCATAACTCAAAGTATTTTTTGCATGGTTTTAATATACATGGAATTTTCCAGGAACGGAACTACTATGTAAATTGAAAGGAGTGTGTGTTGTTTTGTTTGGAATTTTACCAAGAATGGCTTAATGTTTTAGAAAATCACACCAATGACATCAATGCCTTTTATGGGCTGTGCTGGATATCTTCCACTTGCCCTTCCAGACTCATTTCACCTTCCTCTGCCGGCTCTGTGCCCTGCAGAGGGACTATATCAACAGGTTTCTTTGCCATCCAGCTTCTGGGTGAGTTCACTCGGTGGGAAGCATGGGCAGGAGATCTGGAAGGTGGAAGAAGAGGGAGGTATCTATACCACTTGAAATGACCATCAGGGCCTGGCAGGGTGGCTCATGCTTGAAATCCCAGCATTTTGAGAGGCCGAGGTAGGACTGTTTGAGGCCAGGAGTTTGAGACCAGCCTGTGCAGCAAGGTGAAACCTCCTCTCTCCTGCACCCCCGTTTCTACAAAAAAACAAAATAATTAGCCAGGTGATGTGGTGTGTACCTGTAGTCTCAGCCACTCAGAAGGCTGAGGCAGGAGAATCGCTTGCACCCAGGAGTTTGAAGCTACAGTAAGCCACGATCATGCCACTGTACTCCAGCCTGGGCAATAGAGTGAGACCCTGTCAGGAAGAAAGGAAGAAAAGAAGGAAAGAAAGAGAAAGGAAAAGGAAATAAAGAAAGGAAAGAAAAGAAAAAAGAAAGAAATAGCCACCAGGAGCTAGATTGAATGTGCACAGCCATATTCCATTAGAAAAGGATAATGAGATATATAAGTTGGGACCAAGCTAGTCGGAAAGCCCAAGTAAACTGCTTCAAGAGGTGGTTCAGACTCCCAAGATAATTGCTGCTACTGGTTTACTTTTTTAACCTACATTTGTAGCTTCCTGGAGAGTTCCCTATGACTGCTTAATAGAGGAAAGCATAGGTGTGGTTTATGCAGTTTTGGGGCACCAACTAACAGTGGGAGGTAGCTGCATTCTAACCCCTAAAAGACAATGGCGAAGGAAAATATTCCTAGGGGCAACATTTTGGGCAGTACATCTTGTCCACTTCATGTGGAAGGAGAGATGGCATATTTTCTCTCTGGGCATAATATTGTTGAGAGAGGCAATTCCCAGTGGCCTGGAGCATCCCTGCTTGTTGGGCATGTCAAAAACACAAGGCTTTGACTGCTCTTTACCTGGGCCGTTTGTCAGGGTTGTAATGCAGGGATCTGCCTTAAGGGATGAGGTAATATCTTCTTCTGGGACACAGAGCAGCCTTGCTTTCTTCAAAGCTGATATTCCTTGACTGTGATGCAAATGTGTACCGTGTAGACAGTATGTCCACCCGGGCCCCTCTGCATGGCCCTGTGGGACCTGGAGACTTGAGGAACCAACGCAAATACACCGATGCCCATGCTGTTTGTCGTGCTGCTGGCATTCATGAAATGGATATATGAATCCATAAAGGGTTAACGTGCAAGTAGGGGAAATCCCAAACCCTGACAAATATCTGTTATAAATTTTTTAGTCAGTTTTACAAGCTTTTGGACATTATGAGACTTGTACCTGATTTCGCATTGAGGGGATGCAACTCAATTTTTCCTCTTTGGTTTCTGAAGGAAAATGTTTTGCCACTTTTGTGTTTGAATGACAAAATTTTCTTTGTTCAGGCAAAACTCCACTGGCAGAGGAATTACTGCACATCTGTTGGCAAAAACAGGTAAGTTTTAATGGCGTCATGAAAGTATGTGACAGAGTTTCATAGCAAACAGTACTAAGGACTAAGGCTGCATGTATTGCCAGTATTGCCAACTAGAAATTCAAATATTCATTGTCATCTTTTTATTTTCTTACTGTAGATGGATAACATTACATACTTCATATTTGAATTGTTTATAATACTATTTTGCCCCTTTCTTTCCATGGTAAGTTTTAAGCTTCTCAGATTTGTCTTTATTTCTCTCTGTTCTAAATAATAGAATTCTAACATTTGGTCTAGAAAACTACAGGCCCTCCTGACTGCAGGTATGAGTTCCCAGCAACAGAATAAGGAAAAGATGATTTTCTAGTTTGTTAATATGTCCTTGAAAATGTTATTTCTGGCTGGGCTCGGTGGCTCAGCCTGTAATCCTGCACCTTTGGGAGGCTGAGGTGAGTGGATTGCCTGAGCCCGCGGGTTCGAGACCCGCTTGGGCAGGCGAGACCTCATCTCTACAATAAATCAAAAAATCAGCCGGGCGTGGTAGCGCATGCCTGTAATTCCGGCTACTTGGAAGGCTGAGGCGGAAGGATCGCCAGAGCCCAGCAGGTCGAGGCTGCGGTGGCCGGGAGCGGCCACTGCACTCCAGTCTGGGCGACAGAGTGAAACTCCAACTCAAACAAACAAACAAAAAAAGAAAATGTTATTTTTGGCTGGTTGCGGTGGCTCACGTCTATAATCCCAGCACTTTGGGAGGCTGAAGTGAGAGGATTGCCTGAGCTCATGGGTTCGAGACCAGCCTGGACAACTTGGTGAGACCTCATCTCTACAATAAATCAAAAAATCAGCCGGGTGTGGTGGCACACACCTGTAGTTCCAGCTACTTGGAAGGCTGAGGGGAAGGACCACCTGAGCCCAGTAGGTTGAGGCTGCGGCAGCCATGAACGTGCCACTGCACTCCAGCCTGGGTGACAGAGACTCCAACTAAAAAAAAAAAAAAAAAAAATGTTATTTCTGACTGCAGAGCTTACTTGGAAGGGAACTGAAGCTTGGTCACCTTTAAGGACCTAAAAGTAGGGTTTTGGCCTAGTTAACGGTGCTGGGATGTGGTTTGATATTCTCCCTGGAGTCGCCATCTTGGGCGGGTGCTTGATCATTCCTGGAGTGGCCACTGTATACATCTACAAGTTCACCATCAGGAGCAAGATCAAAAGGGGTGCCCATTATCCATATCAGTGGAGCTTGCTGGAAAGAGACAGGCGCATCTCTGGAGTTAATCGTTACTATGTGTCAAAGGGTTTGGAAAACATTGATTAAGGAGGCATTTTCCTGACTGATGAAAAAATAACTCAGCTGTGATCATCTACCCTTGCTAGGAGTTATGTAATATATTATGTAGTATGCAGTATGTTTTGCCACTTTTGTGGCAAATAAAAATAAATTTTGTGCTTAATAAAAATAAAACAAAAAATGTTATTTCTAACAAAGCAGCCTTGCAAGACATCTGGAACTCAGGCTTGTTCTATGAATATAAACTTGGCCTTTAAAAGCCTGTAATTCTTTTGGCTTGTATTACTAATAAACTGTTTCCTTGGTAATGATATTTAAATGGATGTCTCCATGTCCTAAAAGCTGTGAATACCTATGAGTTTTCTTCAGCAGCCAAGTGAATTGAAAATGTATGTGCAGACAAAAATCTGTATGCAAATGTTTGTAGCATTTTTATTCATCAGTAACTAGAAACAAACAAGATGTCCTTCAACAGGTGAACAGATAAACAAACTGTGGTACATGTTTGCAATGAAATTCTAGTCTGTGACAAAGATCTATCGACTTACTCAACAATATGTGTGAATCTTTTTATTTTAGTGGTAAAGTATACATAACATAAATATGAATGAATCTTAAATGCATTTTGCCAAGTGAAAGAAGCTAGACCCAAAAGTATTGTAAGATTCCATGTATATGACATTTTGAAAGAGGCAATACGATAGAGATGTGTATTAGTTTCCTATTGCTGCTGTCACAAATTATCACAAATTTAGTCACTTACAACAATATTGGGTGAGGTGGCTCATGCCTATAATCCCAGCACTTTGGGAGGCCGAGGGGAGAGGATTGCCTGAGCCCAGGAGTTCGAGACCACCCTGGGCAACATAGCAAGCAACATCATCTCAACAAAAATTTTTATTTATTTATTTATTTATTTTTTTGAGTTGGAGTCTCACTCTGTCATCCAGACTGGAGTGCAGTGGACGCTCCCGGCCACCGCAGCCTCGGCCTGCTGGGCTCCGGCGATCCTTCCGCCTCAGCCTTCCGAATAGCCGAAATTACAGGCATGCGCCACCACGCCCGGCTGATTTTTTGATTTATTGTAGAGATGAGGTCTCGCTGCCCAGGCGGGTCTCGAACCCGCAGGCTCAGGCAATCCACTCACCTCAGCCTCCCAAAGGCGTGGGATTACAGGCTGAGCCACCGAGCCCGGCCAAAAATATTTTTTAAAATGTGCCAGGTGTGGTGGTACATGCTGTAGTTCCAGCCACTCCGGAGGCTGAAACAGGGGAGATTCCCTGAGCCCAGGGGGTCAAGGCTTCGGTGAGCCATGATCGTGCCACTGCACTCCAGCCTGGGTGATAGAGCAGGACCCCAACTCAAAAATAACTACAACACAAATTTATTGTCTTACAGTTCTGAAGGCTGGAAGTTCAAAGTCAGTTTCATTAATCTAAAGTCAAGGTGTTGGCAGGGAGGCTGGTTCCTCTTGGAGACTCTGGGGGGGAATTTGTTTCCTTTCCTTTTTTAGCTTCTGGAAGCCATCTGCATTCCTTAGCTGACTCCTTCCTCACTTCATTCCTACCTCTTGCTTCCATCCTCACTTCTACTGCCTCCTTTGACCTTCTTGCTACCTTCTTTTAAAGATTCTTGTTGTAGCCGGGCTCAGTGGCTCAGCCTGTAATCCCGTGCCTTTGGGAGGCTGAGGTGAGTGGATTGCCTGAGCCCGCGGGATCGAGACCCGCCTGGGCAGCGAGACCTCATCTCTACAATAAATCAAAAAATCAGCCGGGCGTGGTAGCGCGCGCCTGTAATTCCGGTTACTGGGAAGGCTGAGGCAGAAGGATCACCGGAGCCCAGCGGGTCGAGGCTGCGGTGGCCGGGAGCGGCCACTGCACTCCAGTCTGGACGACAGAGTGAGACTCCAACTCAAAAAAAATAAATAAATAAAATAAAGGTTCTTGTTTTTACATTTAGGGATCCCCTACTTTGGACAATCCAGCATAATCGCGAGATCCTTAATGTAATCACATCTGCAAAGGTCCTTTGCCGTATAAGGTTAATATCACAGGTTGAGTGATTAGGGCATGGATTTCTTAAACATTTTTAAATAATTTTTTTCCCCCCAACTTCTCAGTGGAGCAACATGAATATCTTTGAGGGGTCATTATTCAGTCTAGAACAGAACTGAAAACAGATCAGTGGTTGCCAGGGGTGGTGATGGATATATGATTCTACAATTGTCAAAATATACACGCAGAATGGTATAACACCAGGACTGAACATTGCTGTATGCAAATTGAAAAAAGAATCAACCTAGCTGTCAGTGATCCCAGGATGGAAGGCAGAGGGTAACGAAGTAATTTAATTGTACCTGGAGGAAATTATGTGAAGTGAAATAAACCAGACACAGAAAGACAAATATTGCCTGCTCTCACTTATATGTGGAATCCAAAAATGTTGAAAAATTACAAAAGAATCAGGAAGTCGAAAGGTGGTTACCAGAGACTGGAAGGGGGCAGTTGTTGGGGAGATATTGGTCAAAGGATACAAAATTTCAGTCAGGATGAATAAGTTCAAGAGATCTACTGTATAACATGGTGATTATAGTTAATAATAATGTTTTGTATTCGTGAAAATTGCTAACAGAGTAGATTTTAAGTAATCTCACCACAAAAAATTGTATTTTAGGTAATGCTTATGTTAATTAGCTTGATATAGTCATTGTACAACGTATACATATTTCAAAACAACATACTGTACAAGATAAATATAATTTTTATTTGTCACTCTAAAAAAGAATAGATAAAATAATTTAATTGTATGAAAATGTATGACATAACTTTACTAAGTAGGGTGGGGAAGAGTTGTTGACTAAGTAACTTTGAAAAGTGTTTTGACTAGATAGTATAAGGCTAAAGACAAAAATAACTGTACATAAATACTGTATTCTAGATGAGAATATCAAATGACAAAATTACAATTTAGTTTTAAGATCTTAATTTGCTTTATTTGTGATTCTAGAATTGAGCAATACTTTATTCCATAAAATAGAATGTGTTCCAATGAGCCAAGCAGAGGAGGTTGGTTTTATAGACAGAGAAGAGCTGAGGAAGCAGAAACAAAGAACAAAAGGTGTATTGGTCATTTCAAAGTTCCTTTCCTTGTAAGACGGGAACAGGGAAACAGAATAGGCAAATAAGTGGTTACCATCAAGTTACTTCAGATGACTTTTTGTTGTAAGGATGAAAGGCAGACAGGAAACTTTATTATCATGCCGACTGGAACTGGCCTATTTGGGAAATTTGGCTGTTATATCTCTCTCTCCTGCTTTCTCAGAAAGCCAGATAACTCAGTTTTGGTTTAGTGATGTGGAACTTTAGTATGAGTGACTCTGTTTTGGTTTTTGATTTGGTCTGTTGCGGCCTAGTGCAGGAGCATAGTCCAAAGCAGTAGCCTCCTATAATTTTTATTTAACAGGACATAGATACAGAAATATTAGATATGTACACATAGGTTAGTATATATAGATTTATTTTCTAGCTTTGATTGCTGAGACGACCTAGAAGCAGTGACAGTCCAACTGCAATGAGCACACCTAACACACAGATCTTCATTTCCAAATACCATTCTCCAGTGAAGAAAATCAGGGCTCTTTGAAAAAATGACTGACTCTAGGGCTGGGATGGGAAAAATACAAGATATGCATGGAACATATTGTAGTACCAGAAAGAAAGGACAGTGGGAGCCTGCATCTGGCCTCTCTAGACCTCTTGCTGGAAGTCATCTGCTGTGATGTATAGCCTGACTTTCATGCTCTTGCTATAATAGTGGATCCTTTCCGTGTAATAAGGTGTAGACTTGTGAGCTTTGTTGTTTTGGGCCCTGCGGATCTTCTTTAGCACTTGAACCCTATTTAAGTGCCACTATTAGAGCAGCTATACTGTATACTCAACTTTTTAAAGCATTGTACAAAAGCACTAGAAATCAAAGGGTATATTGTCTGCTATATATGTCTCTTTCCAGAAAGCTATCAATCAAGATTTATGAATCAAATTATTAAACGATTCTCTATCCTTATTAATATATTCACTTTATAAATTTCAATGTGATTTACTTATTTTGGAGGTGTCAAATTCTAATGTAAGCATCTTTTCATCTTAGATTTCTCTTAATTTGCTTTGTATATTTCCCCTTCTCTTACATTAATCTTTTTGTTTCATTTTGTGCTTCTTTTAAATAACATAAAATTGAAATCTTTTTCTTTCTTTTTTTTTTTTTTTAGTTGAAGTCTTACTCTGTTAACCAGGCTGGAGTGCAGTGGCATGCTTATGGTCAATACAGTCTCGAACTGCTGGGCTCAGGTGATCCTTTTGCCTCAGCCTTTCAAGTAGCTGGAACTACAGGCATACGCCACTATGTCCGGCTAATTTTTGTTGTTGTTGTAGAGACGAGGTCTGGCCAAGTTGCCCAGGCTCGTCTTGAACCTCTGGGCTCAGGCAACCCTCTTGCCTCCGCCTTCCAAAGTGTTAGAATTACAGGCGTGAGCCACTGCACCCGGGCAAAGCTGAAATCTTAATTCAATCTGGGAATCTTAATTTTTAATAGGGAAGTAGATTTCATTTGCATTTATCATCAATAATATATTTGTTTTATTATTCATGTAATATTTTTCTATGGTATTTTTAATGCTTCCTTGCCATTTTTTGTTTTATGATTTTTCAAATATCCCCCCTTTGAGTGTTTGCTTTTATCTTCTTTAGTTCTTTGGAAGGTATATACACTCCTTTAGATACTGGTAGGTGCAACTTTTAAGCTTTTCAAAAGCATTCTGTAGGTCTGAGAAAAATAATGTGCAAGGTATTTTAGCAACAAGAAAGCTATCAATGATTGCTAGGTTCTTGTCAAAAGGACTCAGGAGTCAACTTAAAGAAGTTCCCACCATCCAAAATTGGAGTTATTTGAACATCAATAGAAATCATTACCGTTGATTGAAACACATCAAATAAGCCGGGCTCAGTGGCTCAGCCTGTAATCCCGCGCCT